ACTTCTAGCCTCCAGAAATGTGAGAAATAAATTTCTATTGTTTAAGCCACCAAGTCCATGGTATTTTATTATGGCAGCCCTAGCAAACTAATACAATTAATTATTAGGCAAATGAAAATTAAAAACACAATGAGATATCACTATCCAAAATAAGAATAGCTAAAATAAAATAAAAAATTAAAAAAAAAAGTCCTGACAATATGAGGTGGTGGCAAGGACGTAAAACAATAACTCTCATTTATTGTTGGAGGGAATGCAAAATAGTACAGCCAAGTTGGAAAAGGGTTTGGCAGTTTCTTACCAAGTTAAACATACACTGATTGTATAACCCAGTAATCCCACACTTTGATATTTACGCAAGTGAAATGAAAATTTATGTTCACATAAAAATATGTATGAAAATAATTATAGTAACTTAATTCATAATCATCCCAAACAGCAAACAACTATGATGTACTTCAACAAGTTAATGAATGGCCAAACCTGTGGTACATCCATTTAATGGAATACTACTCAGAAATATAAAAGAGAAAACTATTAATGCACATAGCAATATGGATGGAATCTTAAATGCATTTTTCTAAGTAAAAATAGTTACCAGAAAAGGCAATATATTTTGTATGATTTGGGTTATATGACATTTTGGAAAAGGTAAAATTACAGGGATGGAAAACAGTTCAGTAATTAGCAGGAGTTTGTGGAGGGGGAAGGGACTAACCAGAGACACTTTTAGGGTGATGATGTTGGTAGATACATGACTTTATGCTCCTGTCAAAACCTTTAGTCTGCCACAAAAAGTGAACTTAACTCTATGTAGTTTATTTTTTTTAATCATCCAGATTGTAGGGGAGTACCAGGGTGTAATGTAAACTGTAACAAATAAATGTAACTGTATTTCAATGTATGATATAACTTCACTGAAGAGGGTGTGTGGACAAAAGAGCTGGCTCAAGTATTGAGCACTAGTATTGAGAATAGTGCTCTGAATGGATACTGTAAAGCAAAAGACAAAAGGAATTGTAAAATAACGTGGTATTGAGTTGGTAAATTTGTTTCTCACAGGGTAGCTGTTAGCAATTCTGAAAATACATACATATGTGGTTAAACAAAGAAATAAAGTATACATAATGTGAGACATGTTTTTCACTCTCAGAGAGAAGTTACAAATAATCTGGGGAAAGGCAAGTGAAGGCTAGAATGAACCCAGGGACTTGTGTGTGTGTATTACATAGAATATATGTATATAGATATAGAAATAAACATATATGTATGCATACATGGGTTAATATACATACATATACTTACTAGCTCTGTCCACTGAGAGGGCCTAGAAGAACTGATACCTCAATAGGAACAAGCACACCTAATACCTGGATCTTGGTTTCTAAATACCATTCTCCAATAAAAGGAAAGATATCTGACTCTAGGCCTGGAGAAAGAAATATACAAAATGAGTATGGAGAATCTTGTAGGGCCAGAAAACACAAAGTGCTCAAGAAAAACAAAAAGGGATAGAGAGGTATATTGAAAGGACACAGGGGCCAATGGCCAAAGCAGAAACAATCTGAGTAACATAAATAGTGCTAGTATTGAAATATAATCCAAAGGGTAAAATCAATGTCCCCGAGTTTATAAGTATATAAATACATTATTGAAAAAAAATAGAAGTGAATGAAAGCCTTTAAATGTACAAGGAATGAGGGACCTAGAAAATCACCATTAGAAAACCACAACAAACAATTGCTGCAGGCAAGATTTATTGATGGATATTAAAATGCATGGATGAAACTTTAAGTAGAAATGGTATTTTCTGAGCCCCAAGGGATCTCCTCCTCCAAATTACTAAGTCTGTGGTAGTTTTAATATATTGCCACAAACTCCTTGATATCTCTTTCTCAGAATGAGGTGCTTAATTCCCCTCTCCTTGAGTGTGGGCTGGACCCCATGATTAAATTCCCATGAATAGAGTTTGTAAAGGTAAGAATAGTAACTGCATAGTGGAAAAGCGGGGCAAAACTATGTTAACCAAGTTATCATATCAAAGTTAAAGTAATATCACTAAAAATTAGTCATACTGATTTCATTGGCTCTGATAGGATGCAATGAGAAGGGCAATCAGTTCTGTGATTGTATTCTTCCCCCAAACCCATAATCTCGGTCAATTCATGAGAAAATATCAGACAAACCAAAATTGAGGGATATTTTATGAAATAGCTGACCACTTCACTTTTCTTCAGGTTGAGGAAAGACAAGGAAAGACTGAGAAACTGTCACAGATTAGAGGAGAGTAAAAAGATATGACAGCTAATGCACTGTGGGATCTTCAATTGATCCTGAAATAGAAGACAGACATTCCAGGAAAAACTGGGGAAATCTGAGTAAAGTTTGTAGTTTAGTTAATAGTATTGTACCAAGATTAATTTCTTAGTTTTGATAAGTGACTTAAACTTAGCTGAGTTGTGTAGGCCATTTCATTTTTTGCAAATAGTAACTTTGGAGGAAGAACCGGAGCTTCTGAAGAGAACGTGCGGCATATTAGCCAACTCCTGTCTGCTTGCTTCAATCTTCAGCACTTAACGTCCACCACTTTTTCCACATCAAGTATTGCAACATTGAGATGCCTGTGCCCCAGGTTAGAGCCTCTTGATTTCACCTTTGCTTTTTATTTCCCCAGGTTTACAAGTCTCCACGGTATTTATCTGGAGCTGCTTTTCTATCATGAAGGCTGTAGCTGGTCAGATTTCACAAACATAGGGTTGGTCTATGCCAACATTACATTCTAAGTCACAGTAAAGTGAGGGAGGAAGAACATAGAGTAGAAAGGGATAGGATATAGTTAGTTGACTCTGTTCACAATGATACTCTCTTCTTGGGAATTGCAACTGATAAACAGGACATGGCCTCAGTGGCCATGCCTTTACATCAATCCCAACCAAAGACAATCAGAGTCTGTCTCCTGGGAGTTTGAAATTTTGAACTGCAAGATACAAAGACTAGGAGAAAGAGTAGGAACTTATACCCCCAAGGAACACAGAGCTGTCTTGCTCCTGCTTTTTCTGAAGCTTGGGTGCCACCTCTATTAGTTTCCTATGGCTGCTTTAGCAAATTACCACAAACTGGGTGGCTTAAAATAATAGAAACTTATTCTTGCACAGCTCTGGAGACCAGAACTCCAAAATCAAGATGTTAGCAGGGACATACTCCCTATGAAGGCTCTGGGGTGGCAGGGAGCCTGTTCTTTGCCTCTCCTGGCTTCTTTGACTTCTGGCTACATCACTTCCATTTCTGCCTCTGCCTTCATATCATCTTATCTTCTGTCTGTCTATTCTGTGTGTAGAGAAGACCCTGTATAGCAAAAGGAATCTTAAGCAATTTACCAGACTTCAAGCTATACTATAAGGCTATAGTAACTAAAACAGCATGGTATTGGTACAAGAACAGAGACATAGACCAATGGAACAGAACGGAGAACCCAGACATAAATCCATCCTCATATAGCTATCCAATCTTTGACAAAGCAGACAAAAACATACACTGGGGAAAAGAATCCTTATTCAATCAATGGTGCTGGGAAAATGGGATAACCACATGTAGAAGACTGAAACAGGATCCCCACCTCTCACCTCTCACAAAAATCAACTCACAGTGGATAACAGACTTAAACCTAAGGCATGAAACTATAAGAATTATAGAAGAAAATGTTGGAAAAACTCTTATAGACATTGGCCTAGGCAAAGAATTTATGAAGAAGTCCCTAAAGGCAATCATAGCAACAACAAAAATAAATAGATGGGACCTGATTAAATTAAAAAGCTTCTGCAGAGCCAAGGAAACTGTCATGAGAGCAAGCAGACAACCTACAGAATGGGAGAAAATATTTGCATCCTACACATCCAATAGAGGGCTGATAACTAGAATCTATATAGAACTCAGGAAAATCAACCAGAAAAAATCAAACAACCCCATTAAAAAGTGGGAAAAGAACATGAACAGAAAATTTTCAAAAAAAGACAGACTAATGGCCAAAAAACATGAAAAAATGCTCAACATCTCTAATCATCAGGGAAATGCAAATCAAAGCCACAATGAGATATCATTTATTTTCTATTTCTTAAACTATGTAGTGCCAGTTTCTATTATTTGCAACCAAAAGAACTCACATAGTTTAGTCTCTCAATGTTAGTGGCAGCAGTTATAAGTGGCTTGCACCATCTGTATACCAAGCCGGACTTCAGAAGTTCTTCAGTTTTAGTGTAATAAGAATTACTTTGGAACTTATTAAAAATGCAGATTTCTGCCCTCATCCCCAGAGTTTTTCAACAAATTGGTTCAGGAATGTGTATTTTTGACAACTCCCAGACGTTTCTGGTGACAAAAGAATAGGGAAATTGTTAAAGCCTAGACCCATTAATGTCCCTTTCAAATAAAAGCAACAGGAAAAGCAATAAAAAATAATTTGAAAACTTTAATGATATTGTTTATATAGTAAAGCCATAAAATATTTTAAATAAGGTACATTCAATTTTTCAGAGCATCTAACATCCAGATAATTTATATTTCATACACTGTCCAACATTAAACAATTAACTAAATAATGCATTTTCTATAAAATGATATTACAGCTTATACAGATAAAATTATATTATAAAAACACTCCACACAGGAAAAATGGCAATATCTATTAGAAAATGCTACAAACTTTCCATTAAAAAATATATTTTATCTCTCTCATTTGTCATAATAATAAACAGAATATATTTTTTTCTTTCTAAAATTAAGACTTACACCATTTCTCTTTAGGATGATAATATGTACAAATCTTATATCCGAATGAATATAAATAGCAATACTATAATAGTGTTACAGATATATTAGTAACTTTTACAGAAAAAATATGGCTTTCTAATAAAAACCTCCAGCACAGCTAAAATTGCAAAGCTATATAACTTAGACATTCTCATATTTGTAAGGTACAATGGAGTTTAGGTTTTTATTTTTTTATTTCCAGTTGAATTACTGCAAGCAGTAATAAGGGAAAATATAGTCAGTAGATACTGGACCAGATCTGACACTTAAATTAACTATTAGGAGTTTATTGAACTTTCGGAGAGATGTTGGTTCTTTCTCCACATCATAGTTTCTTTTAGTGCCTTGTGGCAAAATTAGTCATTGGTGTCGAAAAAGAATCATTGTACCCCCTCAAGTGCCTGAGAAACAGTTCACTCATCCATACAATCTGGCCCATTGGGAGGAAACAGCCCAATGACTCTTTCAGGTTATAAGCAGCTTATTTTTACTGATTGGACCTGGTTCCCTATCATTTCTAAAAATAGCTTCTGATACAATTTGTACATCGTGAAGCTGTGAAGGAACCTGATGGTCTTTTTCAGACTCTGAGTGACAGTTTTGGGAAAGTGGTACGTCTTCAAGTGCTTCAGTGCGTGCATTAGGCCCTTCAGGGTGTCTTGGTCACCATTTTTTATTCTCCACAGGCTCAGCAGCTTCAAGATCTGCTCACTGGGTTTGCACGCCTTCCTTGTCTTTTCGATGTCTTCAGTTCCCACTTTCTTCCCTGGTAAGCTTTCCATCAAGCTGCGGAGCTGCTCGAAGGTGAGGTTTGCGTGCCCGAAGTGCCGCTGCACGCTGTCTTCACAGAGGCCAATATCTGCATAAAGCAAAAGCCCAAAAAAGCGCTCACATAACATATTCATCTAAGGCCATGATAAAACCAGCCTGAGGTGAAATATTCGCAATTTTATGTTAAGGGTAATATTTTATTTTCTTTTGTTGAGGGGGATGAAATGATACTAGTTATTTTTAAGAACCAAGATAAATATTATTTTGTGTTATAATAAGATAATATGCTACATATGCTTGGCATCCAGAAAAGCTTTGTGAGAAGCCCCTAATTTTGAAAATTAACACTAGAAAATTCCAGACACATCAGTCTCAGTTTTCTAAGAAAAGTTTGAGAAATTAAAACTATACCATTTCACGAAACAAAAATAAAGTATTCAAGTTAGCTACTTTGTAATATAAACTTTCATTAGTTGCTATCGACATAGGCACCATTTGACAAGTTAGTTGCTTTAACTATCTTTAATAAATACATACAGCATGAGAGGATTACCTCCATGAAGAAGCTATCTGAAAACCTGAAAATGTGAGGCCAAGGAACCGGAGGATACACACAGCCTAGATATTATTTCAATAATGAGCTAGGGTATAACCCTAAGGGGGAGTAACTAACGTTTCTATTAATGACATGAGTCATTTAGTATCTGTGAGCCCTAAGGCAAATCAGTTCATCTTTCTGGGGTGAAATATCCTCATTTATAAAATAGGGAATTTGGTCCCTTCCCATTCTAACAGTCTCGGACTCTCTATTTCTCTCTCGCTCTCTCTCTCTCTTTGCTTCAGGGCTAATTATATGTTCAAAGAATACTTTTGGTTTGCTGAAAACAGAACAAAAGTTTACTCTTTGCATAAGCAAAAGCATTCAACTGTCAAAGATGTTTGTCTCTAAAATCTGTTGCCTAGGTTTCAAATATTTGAGGTTTCTGGGTAGCATAGGACTACTCAGTCATTTAACTACTATTGAAGAGCAGAATGAATTTCTCTTTGGCACTGTCTGCATTATGAAGACCCTCCCTCGTTTTTTATGGCATGTCCTCCCAATGCTAACTGAAGTCGGAATTCTGTCCATCATATATCCTAAGGCTTACAGTCCACACGAGATGATGCTCACTTTTTCTCTTTGGATTCTCTTCCAACACACACGCACACACACAGTCTCTCTTTCTCTCTCTCTCGCTATTTTTAAAGGAGATTCTTTATAAACCTTTCAAGTACGTGAGTACTTTAACTAGCTTTTCCTATAAAAGGCTCAAACATTTTTCAGGCTTTATCTCATTAATCCTTACAACATATGTTATTAAATGACAATTTTAATATAGGCTATACTGTGAGGATTAACGAGAGTATATTTATAAGACACATAGAACCCCTCTGGAGAGAATTACCAAATAAATGCAACCTGGCTTCTTGGTGGAGATGCAAGGTAAGATCCAAAGTGGTTAAAGAACTTCTCCTTGGTAGCCCAATGAGGCTCCTAATAAAAGAGCTAAGGGATCTGCAAGCAGATTCCCTGAGATATAGTCCTGCATTTGAAATGCATTTCTCTTCTTTCAGAGTGTTCAATACATTTTACAAAGAAATTGGGGTGGGGGAGGGGTCAGAACCAAACCTTGTATAACTGCTTTAGGAATAACATTCACACTACCAGTTGGCGGAAACCTTTTCAGTCAAACAAGGATTCCAAAAGGGAAACATCATGCACACAACCAAACAGGCACATAATCTTGTTCCCGTTTTATGATAAACATGCATCTTTGATTTCTGATTAACTTCTTTATTTCAGATTAGCGTACCTTGGACGATCTTTTTGACTATGTCCTGATCTTTGTTTTGATGTTTCCATAACTTCAGCAGCTGGAAAGTTTGTTCCTGTGAGCTGTGTCGTCGTTTTATCCTCTCTACACTCTCTTTATTTACTTTGGTGCCAGGCAAATTGTCCACCAGGACACTTAGCCAATTGGGCGTAAACTTTGTAGGAACAGCAAACCTGAAGAATGCCTCCTCACACAGGGTGACATCTGGAGGAAAGTGGGAAAGCCAAGAAGACTTACTCAACAATTGGATTCCTGAAAGTTTACTGAACTTTAAATATTAAAGCCTCCATAGCAAAGTATCTGGCACAGTAAGTGCCCAACGAAAGACAAAAATAAAACTTAAAATGAATTAAAGAAAATGCTAAAGTCAGAAGTCATTCCCTTTCTCTCATTTCATTTATTAGATAAGAAAGGAAGAAGGCCAAATGACTTGTCTAAGATTATGATTACAGAGTGAAAAAATGTTGGAACTGGTTGGAATCATATATGTATATATCAATTCACATTCCCATGCTTCACACATTTCTATGTAGTCCAAAAAATGTTTGGAGAGAATCATGCTGGTCATGCCTTTGCTTGTTAAATGCAAAAACATGGCTTATCTTTGGTGTGATAAGTCCTTGAGCAAAAGTCTGAGATCAGTCTGGTGTTAGGAGTGACAAGATGAGAGCACACACTAACTGACATGGAGGGCATTCAGACAACATGAGCTTCGTGCTACTGACCCTCACCCAATAACCAGTTTAAGACAACTAGAGGAGCTTGGGGCTTCCACGCAATAGATGCACTAATACCACAGATAACAAAGTCAAGTATGGATTTTTAATTTGTCAATCAGCTTATGTCCTTTTGCTTCTCAGTTGGCAATTTATACTTTAGGTAATAGTACAGACATTCTCGAAAGTAGTAACAATATATACCTTAAATTCTACAATTTGGACTCTGCTAATTTGGCCTCCACAGCAAACTTGATACCGCCCTTTACCCATGGGTAAGATTTGATTTGAATGTGAAAGAAAGGGGAGAAACTCAGGCTTTCAGGTGTTATTTGTGAGATGACTTTTTGAGAGCTTCTGAGTTGTGCCTTAGCAACGATGCACAGAGAATAGTCTTAGCTGGTTAAGATGCAAGAAAGAGAAAATGTGAGTTTAACCAAGAATGTGGCCAGCGGCCCTTGTGTTCAACTCAGAGAGAGATAATACTATAAAATGGATCCAAATGTTGGTATTTTGGAATATAATTACCTATTTCACATTTTTGAGTTGATTCATTGTTTCCAGAACATATATTGTCATGTGTCGCATTTCCTTTCTGAGTTAGCAGGAGACCAAACGCACTGCAATTTGTGTGTTTTCTACAGGGTGCTTTAGATGACGTCTCATTTGAGAAGAACCCATCTGGACATCTTTTGCAAACTGTATTTCGCTCCGGGGTTCCTACAGAAAATACCAAGCAATTTAGTACCTTCTTCACAAATACATTCCCAGCAAATATCCTCTTAACACAGTTTTGGAAAGACTTCCCTTGGTTTTTACTGCTACTATTATGTTGAACAAAACTTTAGGCATTTTTCACTCTTCACATCGTTAGACAGAGACAACAAAACTTCTGCACTTATCTCCTTCAATAGGCTGCTCTCTTTGTATTACAAATGCAAGTTTGTTTTGCTGTTACCTACAAAATGCTCCTGAAATGTGAGAGGAGAGGAAAGAACGGTAGGATGTTCATTAGTCCTGGCGCTGCTCAAGTGGCAGTAAGGCCTTGTTGTCAATCATATTCTTCACACAATTATTCCTGGAAAATCATCAAGATAACTGCTGTGTGTCTGCTGTAATATCATTCTTCGAAATTAGTACCCACTGAATGCCACGTCGTTAAATTCCAATCAGTTCCTACTGAAGATCTTTCTTCCCTGAATCCTAATTGGGAAGCAACTCGTAAGTATGCTAACCTTGAGAAGTAAAAATTTACAACATTATAATAAACTTTTGAAGGTGGTAATAAAGTTGGCTGCTGACTCAAAAGCGTAAGCCTGCAGTTAAGCTACATAGTAAACGGAAGATGATATACCGTTTGCTTAAACTGTTTAAAAGAGCACAGTCGTTACAACTTCAGGAAGGGTGACTACAAGGGCATTTTATTTTATGGTGGAAAGATATTTGATAAATTTAGAGAAATCATTGGCAGTGAAATTTGAACCAGTCAACAAGTAAAGATGCTATTAAAAATAAATATCTTCAAAAACTTGACTGTATTAGGCATGGTTACATCACACATTACAGTGTATCTGGATATGAAAATATCTCCATCTAGTGTAAGCTAGTTGAACAGATTTAGATTTCAATATTCAGATGTAGATTTTACAGGCCAATTCTGGTATATGCAAGATAACTAACACAAAAGAGACAAATGAAAGCTAGAGAGTTATTAAATTTCATTTATTAAAAATTTCAACCTCCTACCTCATTGTATCTTTTACCAAAACCAGAAAAAAAAATGAGCAAAATGGATTGGTTCTCGTTTCATCTCCTGTCTCCTTCCTTTCTAAAGGGATAAATGATTCATTGACCTGTAAAAATGACAAAGGGCTGGCAGAAAAACAGAGGAGGAAAGGAAACTACAGCCTGAAACCTTCGCATATTAAATGTTATTTCCAGCCTTGCAGTGACATTATCTTAGGAATCACCAAAGGAAAGCAAAGAGGTTTTGTTTGTTTGTTTTTAGTACTTTCTTATTACATCCTACTCCTTAAAGAGGCTCCAACTCCACACCAAATTCTACAGTATCATAAGCAGAGGTTTTAGGCAAGGATTCCATGGCTTTCTTTCATTGCTAATTTATTAGAAATAAGCAACTTGCACATCTGGACCCACGTCTCTTTTTGCCAGCTGCCATATGTTCTGCAAAAAAAAGAATCCTGTCATTCTTCAGGTACATATTTGTGTGTCCTGGGTCTTCTCATGCATCCTAACAAGAAGGTCATAGGAACAAAACATTCTTGTAGGTAAGCTAGCCTTTAAAGTTCTTTAACAAAAGCAATCCAAGAATGATAGAACTAATGGTTCATCATATATTCAGAGGCTTTATCCAATGACCTTTCTGAACAGGACTTCCCTCTTTGTAACTGATAGAATTTTTTATTTAAAAAAAAATCTATCTAAGTAATGATTTTATCTTATTAATATCAGCGAAAATACAAAAATTATAACCTGGCATACAAAATGTGAAATATAATAATGATGGAGAAATTTGGCTTCATGGTTGAGAATTCACTAAGCCAAGGCCATGAGTAATTCCATAAGAATTATAGGGCTGAGTAACAGAATGAAGTAAATAAAATATGGAGAGGGGATAATCAGACTTCAAAACAGCAACAACAAAAAATGGTTATTAAGTACTTTTTAGAGTAACACTACATAGTCCTTCCTTCTCTTGGGGCTGGAAACCTCTTATTTTCCAAGAGGAACCACTGTGTGGGTTTTTAGGGAGGGAGAGGTAAATAAACCCCACTGTGGTGCCGCAGAATAAAATGTGTCCCTTTGTCCTAAGTCTTCTGGCTGCCTGCTTGCTTCATTCAACAAACAGATTTTCATGCCTATTTGGGAAAGATCCTTGTTATTTACATTGCTTTTCAAAATTTTCTCATTTCCAAGCAGCATAGTCCACACTTTATTTTTCTACATATACAACTTACTCAATGGAATTAACTGCATGTGTTTTTGTTGGATGGGCTTCCCTCCTACAGCTTGGCTTAGCTTTTGAAACCGAAGTATCATCCAATAAAAAGTAGGAAGTGTCACCAATCCCTTCCCGAAACACTCAGACGAGAGGCATTTGAAGAGACTCTCATGCAGTCTGCATCTTCTGTCATTAATTTTGTGATTCACTACTTATGAAACTAAATAGATTTCCATTTTTGAATGTTTCCTTTGTATGCCTTTAAACCTAAAGTATGTGTCATCTAATAATTTAGACTTTGTATATCACAGCTTTTGAACGTTAAAATAATTATAAATAAATAGCATCGATGAGCCCATGGTTCTTAATTAGAGGTGATTTTGCCATCCAGGGGATATTTGACGATGTCTGGAGATGTTTTGGTTGTCACATTTGGTGGGAGTGGAGGGTGGGGACTATTGGCATCTAGTCACTAGAGTCCAGGGATGCTGCTAAAAACTCTACAATGCACAAGACAGCTGCCCACAAAAAGGAATCAACCAGCCCAAAATGTCAGTAGTGCTGATGTTGAGATATACTGCTTCAAACTGAGTCATCAAAATCTATATTGATTGTTACTTCCTTGAGCTAACTAAGTGAATACTCTTAATTTTTCCAAGCCACAAGAAGTTACGTAATAGAATACACTGAAGTTTTATGAATGTGGTAGAAAAAAACTGTGGGTTGCAACTTTAAAAAATTCAGTGCACACAAGCTCTAACCTATGCTGTTCAAAATGCAAAAAGAGAAAGCACTTTGTTTATAGACAAGTGCTTACTCTTGGCTTGACAATCTGTTTTGTTTAAGATAAAGAAAAAGCTCGCTGAGGAGATGCAGCTATAGTCTTTATCCTCCCAGACACTCAGCTCCCGTGCTAAAGGGAGAACTAGCTTCGTTTTTAATAATGAAATGCATTTCCCCTAACCATTCTCATTTTTTAAATAATTAATTATAACTACTCATTGTTAGCCCTCCAGAGCCTCATTAATATCAGCGTAATTACTCTCTTGGTATCAATTAACATTTCTGATGTTTGTCAAAAAGCACTGCAGGTTGAAGCTGTCCATGCTGAAGTAAAACATAGAGGTATATATCAACTATCCGCAGTACAACTCTCAATATGTTCCTTCAAAAAGAGCAATCCATCACGCATCTCATTAGAGAGCAATTTGCTGCATTTGAGAGTTGTCACTAAATTGCCCTGCAGTGGCAAAGTATTCTTCTGAGAAATGGTCCTTTGGAAGCAATCCAGAAACATAGCACCTACCTAGCAGGTTCCATTACCTTTGCAATTTTCTAGCCTATAATATATGTCATCAGGACTAAAGTGTTCCTCTAAACTTTCACTACTCTCTGACTTTGCATGATCCTCATTAATTTTGCTGCACATTGAAGCTGATACGTACCAACTTGTACCACTCCAAATCCAGGCGGACAGCTCCTGTGCTTCAAGCAAAACTCTACCTCAAGGTAGTGCCCTTCCTTGCATTCACACACGCGGTTGTGGGTGCGACTGCACTCCTGCTTGACGTACTGCAGCTCCTTGCACACTGGGTTGCAGTACAGACACTCGTCACTGGTGTGCCAGCTGTCCGTGTAGTAGTGGTCAGGGCAAGGGGCACACACAGTCTTCCACCTCGTTGTACAGTGCTGTTTCAGGTAGGTGCCAGGAGGACATTTGTCACACATCAGCTGACGAGAGGTTTCTGGGTCATAATGAAGGTACTTGGGAGGAAAGGTGTCCTGGGTGGTCCATTTAATGGAGATATCCAGGAACTAGAAGGAGAAAGAAAAATAGTGGCATCATAGCATGAAAGGTCAGGTTGTTCTTGTGTGCAAAGGCATCATGAGACTCAAAAGTCCCTAATGCCGTAAGCCTAATGCCCTTCCTGCCTGCTGATCGAGATGCACCACAAATAAGTTCAGAAGCCACAATTTTTGCCTCCAGCAGCTTAATCTCAAAGACCAAGAATGCAGAAAACATATTAAGTAAATCCAGGCTCAAAGATGACTGAGTAGAAAGCTGATCGGAATAGAATTAGAAACACTTAGCTGCACCGCTAAATAACCATGGGACTTGAAAGACACTTTGTCTTCCTGGGTCTCAGGATTATCTCTAGGTTAGTGAGTTGTATGAACTGGTGGTTTTCAGAACAGCTACACCAAAATCACCTGGACTTTGTATTAAAAATGTAGATTCTTAGGATTCACACCCTTAAGTATACTTATTCCACTGGTGTGCGTTTGGGCCTGGAGACTTAAAAAAAAAGACGTCTTGCAGTGTTTCTGATACATTTGGTACATACTAAATAATTACAATTCCATTTATTCATTTGACAAACAGTTATTGAGCCCTTACTATGTGCCAGGCTCTGCCCTAAGCACTTGGGATACAGCCCTGAAAAAAACAGGCAAGAAACCCTGCCCTTGTAGAGTTTCCAGTACAATTGGAGGACGAAGAAAATATATACATTATAAATATATTATATGTCAGAAGATAAGTGTTGTTAAAAACTGAGCAGGTAAAGGAGATTGGAAACATGGAGGAGAGGGTGGTGAGATTATAACGTCCAAATGGGATGGCCATATTTGCCATATTTGGGATTAATGATATTTCTTTAAATTTTCCTATTCTAAGGCTTAATGACTGCAAACAAATAGTGAAGTAAAGAGTGGGCAGTATGTGAAGGTACGTGATACCAACAGCAGTTGTTCCTATCATTCATTCATTCATTCATAGAACAGATAAGTGCTCAATGCCTACTAGGCATCAAGCACCAGGAATGTGTTGTTGGGTGAGATGCAACCTCTGTTCCCACAAGCCTGCAATCCACTGAAAATATCTTAGAACTTTAAGGTGACATTTTCTCCAAAGGCCATATGCACCAGTAGTCTTGACTGTCATAGGTAAATGACATCTAAAAAATTAATTTAAATTAACTAATTAAATGACCACCTCTCTTCAGGTTAATTGGGATAAATTTCAAGAAGCATGCAGGGTTTCAGAAGTTTCCTTACACATCAGCAGAAGAGTTCTGTGCAGTAAGGGAAAGAGGATTTCACGGGCAGGGTGAGGATAGTTCCAACCGGGTATTCTGTCTTATAGTCTAGATCCCAAAAGGTCTTCCAGGGAACACTGAAGTAGTTTTTCACACTAATTACAGGAATCACACGCTCAGAAGCAGCAGTGTTATTTGTGTGTAGGGGATGGTTTGTTTGGTTTTTATTGCTTGTGTTTGGTACAGGGGTCAACATTGACTATTTTCAGGCTTTGGGGAGGTGGTAAACCAAACACAGTAATTTTTCCAAACTCTCCTTTTTGCAGAACTCAGGAAATCTCACAGGAACCCCTTGACCTGAAAAGAGCGTGCCAAGATAGAGAAACAGCACTCTCTTTTGAATTAGGGGTGGCAAAGATAAAGAAGAGCGTTTTTCATAAGAATTTGAGCATTTTAACCGAAGTATCTTCATCTACTTCTTACTCGAACATGGCAAGCATCTGGGCTGATGGGATAGAACATGAGTTGATAAACCAGAAGAAAAAAACAAAACATCTCACCCAGGGTCACAGAACTCTTAACAGAGACACTTTTCAAAAAGAAATGGTGCTATGATGTAAAGAACTCCCAACTAAAATTAAGCAGAGTACAGTGCAAAATCAGAGCTGCTTTGGTGGTCTTTTCAGGAAACCCTCTTGACCTGAGGGTTTCTAATGAAAGCATGATTTTGCATTTCCCTGGGGCGGCTTTATTGGCTCAGATGGAGTGGGTCCACATTAGGTGAAAGAAATGGACCAGTAGTGGCTGGAAGCTCTGGGTGAGTCTGAATCTTTCAGAAATAGATGGAACCTATTCATTCATTCAATACACATTCATTGAGCGTCCACTATGTACCAGCCATTGAAGAAGGGTGGACATAAAACAGAAATGATTCTTGCCTTCAAGAAGCTCACAGCTTAGTGAGGATGCAAACAGCAATTAAGTAAAGAAATAATTACTAAGAATGATCAATGTAATGAAAGAAATAAAGCAAGATTAAATGACTATGTTGCTCACTGGTCATTTGTATACATAACGGGACATCTTTCAAGGCTCCTTGTGTGAATTTGGCACAAATATTTCTAAATTTCTCAATGTTATCAAGGGAGGTTTTCCTGATTCAACTTGCAAAGACATATGAAAACAATGAGAAATATCTTTTTCTCTTGCTGTTCACTTACAATTTTCTGGAAAGCCACTTTTGAGGGTCTTGTTTGCTTTCAAGAGGCCTGGCTCTAGAGGGACTGCTCTTGAGCGGCACTGCTGTGTGAGCCATGTCCTGGTAGGTAGGAGTCTGGAGATTTTTCCTAGCTGAACTTCCCATTGTTCTCCCTTTCCTATTTCCAGGTGGTTCAGGTGTGCACATTTGTTGATCAGTGCTGACTCTTTTCTACCTTACCAAAAAGCGATGGGGATGAGATGGGAAAACTCAATGGGCAGAGCTTGCGTTCTTCACCAGAAGGAGCCATGTAAGTGTAGATATGACCAAGTATGCTGGTGCAATTTATATTTTTCTGGGTAATTGGACATAATATTGTTGGTTTCCCAAAACCATGCTTTGGAAACTTGTTGCCATTTCTTAGAGATATGAGTAAGTCGGGGTGAAAGGAATCCACAAAGAAAAAATAAATAAATAAGGTCGAGGTAAGGATTAGAGAGTATATTAGTGAAGGCAATTTCCTCTAAGCTACCACATAGAATAATCATATACATTTTTTAAAATTAGAAAGCCTTGAGGAACTACCAACTTGCTTCCAGCCTCTTTTTATTTGAAAATTTTCCACTTTGGTAAAAAGACAGAATTCTGTGTGGCCAAAATTGGATGTTTAGGTCTCAATCTTTGGTTAGCCTCAGTTCCCACACAGAATTTCTGGAATCAGTTACTGGACAGAGGATGGGCAAGATTAATAGAGTTCTTCATCTCAGGCTTTTCTCTTACTTTTTTCTACATTTCCTGGAAAAGTAATAAAAAAGAAGCCATATGACAGATCATCTTAACATTGGCTATAGCTCCTTTGCCAGATGATATTTAAAAGCTAATTACAGTTGAAAAATAAATTTCTGTATAAAATGCACTTTCCAAATAACCACAGATAAACATCTGCAAAAGCTAGGACACATGTATAGGTGTATCCACAGAAACCTAAAGTGCTTTCCATAGAAGAGGCCACTCTGTGTTTTTATGTTATATGCTTGACTTGTAAAAAAGAACCAAATAGATTTTTTTTCTTTATTTTTTATTTCATCCTCCTCCCCTTCCCTGTCTATCCATCACTTGGTGTAGACCACTTGTGCTTGAAGGAAATCTGAAAGTCCCCCAATCTCGTGCTTCCCACCAGTCCAGGATTTCTTCCTGAGGACCCCATGCCTCTTTTTTCAAAAGGACAATTAAGGTTCCATCTCAAAGAGCTTTGACCCTCTCCTTGCCTTCCATTATTAATGTTGGGCAGTGTTAAAGAATTTTCTATTTCAAGTCTAACCATCTTTCCTCATGTATCAAATGCTAGCAGACGATTGTAGTGGGTTAAGATGGTGGGTGGGTTGAATTAGTTGTTCTCAAATGCCTTTTCTAGCTCTACCATTGTACTAGTGTGTAGTTTAACAGTTTAATTAGCCAAAGAACTTGGAAACAAATGTCTTGCTCTAATCCCATTCATACTTCTTGCTCCCTTTTTACAGCAGAACTCTTTTTGCCAATCTCCACTTTTCAGACTCACCCATGCCTTCCATTCCCCTTGTAAAACTACCTGGTGCCCCAGAACCCTATTAGTTATGCCTTCACTCCAGCAAGCCACCTCACGTTTGATCCTACTAGTGGAACCGTATGCCTCACACAAGTCAGTTTTATGTTTGTTGCTGAATCTGTTTATACTAGTTGTACTAGTAACTATAATTGGGTTATTCAATTAAATGTTGTCTAAACCAACGAACATGGGTGTGAAAAAAAAGAATTATTTTTCTGTAAGAAAAAAATTGAATGCTTTGGGATGACTTGATAAAAAGAAAACCCCTTTCTTCCCCTCAAAATAAAACCCATAAAAACAATAAAAGAAACAACCTACTGCAGAATTTCAAGTAAGTGAGATAATTCTAAAAATAAAATGAGGAAAACACCTGGGAGGATTATATAATCAATTAGTTTCATAAATATCATTAGCATATTAACTGCCATGTGAGCTGTATTTAACTCATGCTAGTTTTGAGCCTGGGGCCTCGGGAAGCATATGTAACTCACATGTCTCTTCACCTTGGGAGCCATGAGAACTATTTTTCAAGTTGCATGTAATACAGAGAAAAGCAATATAAAATAACAAATCTTTCATTAAATTAGAAAGGATCATTTTGTTTTCGAAGTTTTTATTCTATTTTCATAATAAAACACCGTGGGGCCCCAGGGAAAATTTTTTTTTCCTAGTGTGGCAGTCAATGCGTTAAGTTCCAAAACTGAGTGGATGGGCAATACTTACAGGAAAGGGCTTTGGAGGAAAGACAGCATGACACTCTAGCCAGCAAACACAGACTCCAAAAATAGGCTTGGTCATATCTCAAAATACAGATAAATGAATGATTATTAAAAAATTTTAAGTCAAAATAAAATATTTAAATATATTTGTATAATTTTTAATATTAAATGTTCTAACTGATTTTATAATTAATCATCCAACTCTTGGTTTCAAACATACATAAGTTTCTAGTGATAATTCCCCATATTTAGGAATTAGGGAGCTATGGCAATGC